TCTGGATCAGCTGTCTGATCTACTTTCTCTAGTTCTAGTGAGGACGCAGGCAGCAGCATCTGGATCACCTGTCTGATCTACTTTCTCTAGTTCTAGTGAGGACGCAGGCAGCAGCATCTGGATCAGCTTCAGTCTCTGATGGACCTTGTAGTTGAACCTATGCAGACTCTGTTGCAGCGATCAATTCTACTATAGATAAATGCTTGAAAGAGTTGTTCTAGATCCTGCAGGTCATCATACCTTTAATCCTGGAGATGTTCTTCAGGTGATCAAAGTCTGACTCAGTAACTTTCTTTCTGAGCCTCTGAAGGTTCAGTTATGATTTTTGTGTTTGAACTAAATTCAGAAAACTTTCAGGAAGCAATTAAAGGTTTATGAAGTTTAACAGCAGTAGTAGGGGACTTTTGGTGTATCTTTCCTCCACTAGGTGGCAGCAGGCAACCTGGAAGCAGTTTCCAGGAAGACGACTGGATCTCTGAGGTGAACACAGTAAAGATGTTTGAAGGATTCAATGAAATCAAAGAAAAGACTAACTGGAGGCTTAACTAATTCTCTCTCAGGGGGAATATTTGCTAGGAACTCCGGGGGTGGGGTTGTAGTTTTAGCTCGGAACAGCAAACCAGTAACGGCTGCCAGTGAGAAACTTAATCCATTGATTTTTCAGAAAGATTCTGGACATAGACAACCAGCTGGCACTGCATGGAACTAGGAAGCCTTAGAGCGATAACACTGAAGGTACGACAGGCTGGGGTTAAGAGGCTTGGATTACCACATAGTGTAACAATCAGGCGGCAAGGAACTGGCAGAACTGGCAGTGTCCTCCTTAAATGATCCTCCTAATGACTGTCTACCAGCTGCAGGTGCGCCTTGCTAGAGGCCGGCTCAGCTACTGTGCCTGTGAAGCTCTCTGCTGGGGGCAAAAGCCACAGCTACACCCCAAGAACCCTAACAGGTTCAGGTCTGAGTCCATCATGATTTCAGCCATAATCAGTGGTTTCTAGCTGATGCTGGGAGCCAACTCTGGATCTCTGCTCCTTTGGTCCAAAGTTTGTTACCTCAGGTTGGTTTTTATCCAGTTGTAGAAAATAGTGGTTCATCCATAGATTGATCTTTTCTAAGCATCTAACTAACACTCTGATTGGTTCACCTGCTGACATTGGGATGTAAAGCTGTATGTCGTCTGCATAGTGATGCTAACTGATCTGGTTGTTTGCTATAATCTGAGCCGAGGGGGGCATGTAGATGTTGAGGATGTAGATGCTGAATATGAGGGGCCCCAGAATGGACACTTGAGACACCCCACATGTGATTTTTCTGGTCTCCGATTTAAAGTACCCTACAGACTCATAGAAGTCCCTGTCCTTCAGGTAGGATTTAAACCAGTCCAGTGCTGAACCAGAAAGGCCAACCCAGTTTCCAGACGCTCTAATAAAATCCACTGATCAACAGAATCAAACTCTGTACTCAGGTCCAGTAATATCAGCACTGTGGTTCTTCCAGAGTCTGACTTAAAGGATGTATTGAACACCTTAATCAGGGCAGTCTTTATAGTATGGTTGGCATGGAAACCTGACTGAGAGACATCAAAGCAGCTTCTCGTTGTTAAGAAGGAACAACTGTTGATACGCAACTTTTGCAATAATTATACTGATGAAGGGGAGGTTTGAGATTGGCCTGTAGTTCTTAAGGAGCAATTTGTCCAAGCTTCTCTTTTGAAAATAGCTGTTTTTAAGTTTCAAGTTAGAAGAACTCCAATTCCTAGCAAGGACCTAACCAGAATGTTTAACTGAAACCTGGCTGCTTAATCATATCTCAGACTCCAGCGTTTCTCTGCCAGGCTTTCTGACCATACCAGCACCTCAGCCTGTTCATATAATTCCTTTGAGACATTCAAAGGAAGTGGTTGACAGTGTTAGTGAACAACAGATGGTGTCATCCAGGACAGATGATGTCATCCAGGACCAGGCTCGGACTGGTAATCTGTGATAGCGGGCATTTGCCTGGTGGGCCGGTCCTAATTTTAGCATGCGAGGGCCGGCCCTCCTTAAATCATACCGGCCCCAACTCTTACTGTCCCGCAGAAGGACCGATAAAAACAAGCCACTAGTGCTGTAAAAAACTCAAAAAGAAGTAATCCAATGTTAACTACCAAAAAGATGCATGCAGTATATATAGCCCTTCCTTGTGCACATCCTTGTGAAGGTTACTATATGGTATAATGCTGTGATCTCATCAATTCTGTTGCTAAGCTACAGACACAGCAGCCAAATGCAATTGTGGCAATAACATTCCAACAGGTTGTCAGCTGCTGAACCAGAGAAAACAAACCTTTGGACTAATTTTATGTAAATGGCAGAGACTCAGATCTCTAAAATAAGACATCTTGATTACAATCTTGTTTTCTTCTTGTCTTGCAACTTAATAAGAGACAACCTGCATTAAAAAGAACTGTACTGCTGTGTGTTTTGGGCTTCAAGAACCCATAAACATTGAAATTTGGACGCTTGTTTAAACGCTGGTCAAGTTGCTTTGATGCTTCAATGTTCTGGTTGTTTATCTGCTCTGTTCTGTAGCCTTAAGCTAGAGAGCAGCTTGGCTTTATTTACTTTATGAGTTTTTAAACTAGTTTTAACACCTTTCTAAGTGAAAAAGTCGACCTCCAAACATCCTCTGTTCATCAGGATTATAATCTCACTATAATCTGCGCTCCTTGTTGGGAGCTCCAGACCTCCAGCTTACCACCGAGAGGCAGTGCTGGGAATCCCCGCTGAAAGCTCTCTGCTGCAGGCAGCCTGTGGGGGATTTCCTGCTGTCGTTCGTAGCGGCTGGAAGTGAATAAAACGTTTATAATGTTTGAGGTAAAAACTGCAAGAACCAGAATATATAATCTAATATTTTTCATCAGCAAGTTTTAACATTTCTAGTTAATTTGGGTATTTATAACCTGTTTCTCTGTAGCTCATAAAAAATGTTTTAGTGCAGCAATAATGATCAGAGCTGCTCTCTGTTCCTTCTACATAACAATCCATTCTACCTGCTTCATTTAACCTTTGGAGTTACACTACTTGATATTTATTAATTTTTTATGTGCAGAATGTCTGCAGAAGCGATGACAGCTGCCAGGTAGTGTCTGTGTCTCCTGGATCAGCTTCTCTGATTGGTTGACACGCCGGCGTCCAGCGGCAAAAGTTCAGATTTCCTACATCATTACAGAGGATCATTCCTGTCTGCAGCATCAACATCCTGAGCAACTGGTTTAAAAACCCATTGGTTTACTGCAACATGTAATTCCCCATTGGGAGTAATAAAGTATTTAAATAAAAGGGGGCTAAATTTGAACAGAAAGCCGGTTTGGTGCTGATGATAGAGAACTAACTTCAGTTCATGTGGATCCTGCTGAAGCCACGGTATCTATTCAGGTGTTAGCTGCACGTGTCCAGCTGCTTCTCAGCCTTCAGACCTTTACACTTCAGATCACCGTGATTGCTTTTTACAGCTGCTATGTTCTGAGTCATTGAGGATGATGTTGATGATGAGGCCAGAGGTCCATTGACACCTGTGACATCATATGAACAGCCTGAGCTGCTTTGGCTGCTCCTCTTCCTCTCAAGCTTGAGCTTACCCCATTATCCTGACCAACAGTGGATAGACAGACAGTAGCTAATGCTAAATCTAAAACCTGTTAGCTGGCTCCACCACACATCAACGTCCCCCATAGTGAGACGACCTTACAAACACATATAGAAGAGCTCAGTCAGGAGTTTTTCCTCATCAGCCAACATATAGGTAAAGATTTTAGGAAATGCCAGCAGGTGAAGGAAGGTATCTGAGGGCAACTATGAAGAAAGGCTTCTAGAGCGATGAAGGTACTAACCATTATTCATTTCATGCAGTAACCCTCACCTGTACGGCGGCCGGTTGGGTTCAGGATTCTCCTTCTTGTGCAAACATCTCTGCAGCCCAATAGATGAGTAACATATGTAGAGTTAAACATGTCCTAGCTTCATTCTACATGCTGCAGAGCTATATTCCAGCACAGACACGAGAAGATGTGTCACCTGTAACAATTTGTTTAGGCCACATGTCTGCTGGCTGCGGCTCTTTAAGCACTAAAACAGAATTTCTGGACAGAGCAGAGTGCCGGACCCTGCCTTGGATTAAAACAGGCACCATGGATTAGAGGTGAGATTTTGACCTCTGGGGGTGGGAGGTGTTGGCTGCAGCGCAGGGATGGACCCTGGGGGAGTGTTGGCCTAAGGGTTAGAGCGGTGCAGCTGGTTTGATCCCCACAGCCTCCACTGTGGGTCCCTGAGCAAAGATCCTTAACCCCACACTGCTCCCCGGGCGCCGAGCAATGGCAGCCCACTGCTCCCGAAGGGGTTGGGTTAAATGCAGAGTTAATTTCTCCATTGTGAGATCAATAAAGTTCCATTTCTATATTTGACCGGAAACCCTTCCATCCGCTCCCTGGCGTCCAGCTGGAGAAACGGGAGAACCTGTCCAAGGCAGAAGCTGTGCTGAAGGAACAAAACATCTGGATGGCTTTGCTCCTCCTCTCTACTCACTCTGAGAGGGTTTCTGGCTCTTTGACCTCTACTCATCCTCAGGTTTCCTGGTTTCTACCTGCTTCTGGACGTAAACTTCCTCCTGTCAGGTTGGGAGGTTGTTCACATTCCACAGATTCCATGTGGGGTGGACCTCAGCTCAGAGCGGAGCAGCAGAGGCAGCTTGATCTGATCTCTTTCTGGAAGCTTTTCTCTCCATGTCTCTGATTCTTAGTGGGACCAGCGATTCTGATGGCAAATGGCTTCCAGGTGGTTCTCAGAGAACCCGGGAAGTCTAAAACAACTCCACCTCTGAGACATGCAGACACAATGGGTGTTTAACTAGCAACCCCACAGTCACACTAGTTCAGTCCAACAGAACCAGAAAAGCAGGTTTCTGATGAAAAATGATGAGATAACGAGCAAAGACGGTTTGACAGACAGAAAAAACGCTACCTTGAACATCTCCTCATATTTCAAGAAGAGGACGTTGGAATCCATCCGATGCTCCCAGAACTCCTGAACATGTTCAAACCAGGAGCCATACGCCACTGGAGGAGGAACCAAGGACAACAGGCTTCAGCAGGAGATCGAGGCAGCAGTACGTAGCGAGCAGAACGTTCTTACGTTTATCGTTCATGAAGCGGCGACAGAACTCCTGGAAGGTTCCCCGGTAGCTCATGGTTCTCAGAGAGCGGTGGAACTGGTAGTAGGACACCACCAGGTCTTTAGGGTTCCTGGCCATGTAGATAACCTGGGGCAGAAGGTCATATTCCAATGTCCCATAAACTACAGACATGACAGCAGAGGTCCAAATCATTTACACTGACCTTGGCCTCTCCGCTGTGCATGGCTGCAGGCAGGAATCGGTAAGGAAGGTGGCTTTTGACCAGGCGGGGGGACGTCAGCTCCTGCAGGAGGACAGCATCAGCTCAGGACTTGTCCACACTGGGTCCATTAGAGGCCCTCTGAGGGACTCTGTGGCCCCCAGCATCAACCCTAGGCAGGGCCACACCTGGCCTACAGCCTCAGACTGATGGATGTTTAATCAGAAACAGATTCAGCCACAAAGGTTTCGTCATGACTTGCCTAAAACCGTTCATCTGACCCACTAGCTCCAGCTTCTATTTAAACAGCTCTCAAACCAGTCATCAGTGCTAGATTATTCTAAAGCCAGGGGTGAAAGTGTTCCAGCATTAGCTTAGTGTTTCTGATGACTTGATTCTGACCTGTTCTGCCTCTCAACCATTGAGCCTGCCCTTTCCTGTTCTAATCTGTTTGCCTGACCTGTCTTTGGACTCCCACTGTATTCCGGCTGTTTAATGAACTTGGAGCTGCTGAGACTGACCTGGGTTTCCCTTCGGACCTCTTTAGACTTCTGATCTCCTGGTTCTGAATCCTGAGAATGTCCTCAACGCCAGCTTAGGCTTCGCTCTCTGGCTTATCCCTCTTTCCTTCGTCCTCTCGGATCTGGTCTCCTGTTTGTTCTACGTCCTCTGGAGCTGCAGAGTCTGGGACACTCTGAGCTACCGGGTGGAATCTACCTCATCCTTTGGGCACGGACTAAGCTTTAAAACCCGGTTAGTGACTCAAGCGTTCGTAATTATCCTCCTACAGATTTACGCGATCACTAACCTAAGTTTTCCTCCTGCAGACGTTCCTGCTTTTTACGCCCTAGCTGTTTCTCCAGATCCGCCTTATTTAATTAAACGCTTTGAAATGGGTTCCAGGATGACGTGATCATTTATCTAAGAACAGAAGTGAAAACTTTTAGACCCAAACCCAATCAGTCTCAGCTGAAACAGCTCTATGTTTAGACGTCATTTTCTATACAGCAAATATCTACAGCAGGTAGCTGAGATATCAAGGAAGCATTATGACAATGCTTGGACTGGGAGTCACCAACCTTTCTGAGGCAGAGCTACTTCCGGGTACCAAGGGCTCCTGGTACTGACGTCTGAACAAGAAGAGTCTCAGTTCACTTAAACATTTTTCCAAATGTTTATAAATGCAACTTTGCTTAAAAACTGGTTCACACATATTTTTCAAGTGTTTTTAGTGGTGTGAGATTGGAGAGCCAAAAAGACCTGAATGCTGCTCCAATATCAGTGGTACCTGAATGACATCCAGCCCGGGTTGGGGGTATTCTATGACCGGTAGCTGTTCATCGATGTTCAGAAGGCCGATCTCATCAGGATCTGCTCCCTGGCTCACTAGAAACACAACCTCCTGCAGCAGACTGGTCCCTGCAAGAACAGACGGAGGGAGATTCAGTTCAAAGCATCTGTTCATTTAACAAGTCATAAAAACCCTTTGATTTAATAAAGAAGAAGTAGCCAAGAGAAAAACACTGCAAAAAAAATCCCCACATGTAAATGCTGCCCTACAGTCTAATGGAGGCGTGCTCTGGCTGTACCATCACTAACTGCTGGAACCTGTTAGAACAGTGCAACATGGTGGACAGCCTGTGGCCTGTGGTCCAGGGCCCCCAGTAGGTCCTTTAATGGGTTTAATAAAGACTTGAACTTGAACTAGGCCACTATGTCTCAGTGAGGGTCTGTATTTGTCATGGAGCTGCCAGGCTGTGGATTAGACCAGGGTTTGTATCATGAACCAGATTCTAGATACAAGCAGATGAAATTCTGTCCAGAGTTTGGAAAAAAACAAAACAAGCGTGCATAGCTTGAACTTTGAACATTCCTCTTTATCTTCTTTGCGATACAGCAAATCAAACTCCTAGATAATGTGAGAACTACGTTTGTTTCTGCTCCAAAGGTTACATGAGTTTCCTGTGACCTGGTGTGAGATATGATAAAGGGAAATCCAGCAGTTCATAAGGCAACAGGAAACAGATAGAGAGCTGCTATCGCCCCTGAATAAACCCTCTGCTGATTTTAACGACAGATGAGCAGAAAAAAACTCTCAGAAGATCAGATTTCAAGGAAAAAATGTAGCATGGAGGAAGAATGTAGGACATGATATCCATAATAGATGAAGATGAATCCCGTTAAATCAGCAACGGATGTTTGGTCATGATAGCTATGTTCCCTGATGTCTCCTGCTGTCTGATTGTACTTCGGGATTTTACCTTCCCTTCCTTCCACCATATCTTTTCTACTGCAAAGGAGAATGAGTAGCATGAAAGAATAGTGTCTTCAGGTCCTTACAGTGGTAAAACGGCCAGATTGTGTTTAAAAGGAGGGCAGTTTAGTGTTTGAATGAAACAGTCTCACATGTTTCTGTCACTCATTCCTCCCTTTGTTGCTGTAGAGTCACATTTCACAGCAAAGATCTACTAATCCTGTACAGACAATAACTGGATGCAATCAGCCGATTTCCTCAGATAGAAACTTTAACCTTTAACATGTCTGGATAATCTGGTTGAATCATCTCAATAAAGTGACCAGAGATTATATGAGTAGTGAATAAGAACTATAGAAAGAAACTGAATTGAATATAGTAAAGAGAATTGGATCACATTGGTTAACATGAACAAACAGAAATCGATCAGATAGATAAGATTTAAACCAGTCTAGTGCTGTTTCTTTAATTCCCACAAAATATTCAAGTCTTTCTAAAAGAATATGATCAACTGGATCAAATGCAGCACTGAGATCCAACAGGACGAGCACAGATACAAGTCCATTATCTGAGACCATGAGAATATCATTAGTGACTTTCACCTATAAGCTGCTGTAGGGATAAGCTGCTGGAGGGCAGAGGGGCCACTTTGCTCTCTCTGCCCCTCTGCTTCAGATGGAGATAGATAGATAGATAGATAGATAGATAGATAGATAGATAGATAGATAGATAGATAGATAGATAGATAGATAGATAGATAGATAGATAGATAGATAGATAGATAGATAGATAGATAGATAGATAGATAGATAGATAGATAGATAGATAGATAGATAGATAGATAGATAGATAGATAGATAGATAGATAGATAGATAGATAGATAGATAGATAGATAGATAGATAGATAGATAGATAGATAGATAGATAGATAGATAGATAGATAGATAGATAGATAGATAGATAGATAGATAGATAGATAGATGCTTTTCATCACCTTCGGAGTCAAAATTAAACAAACTTTTTGACAAGTATATCATGTCAAAGACCCTTTATTATGCTGACATTTTAAAGAGTTCCCTTTAAAGGCAAGGTATGGCAAATGACATATTTTTATTCCATCACAACAAAAATAATGGTCCTAGCTTTCTTTCTCAATAGGTGAATATAGTTCAAAGCTATTTTTGATGATCAGTCTTCCAAATATCTTCATCCAATGTGTTGGACCATTGCTCTTAATTGAAAAGCTGTTTCTCTTTCTATTCTACGAACACAATAAGGAAAATGATTTAAAAGATGACTGAAACCAAGCTTGGCGATTTTAACTTTTGACAAGACTGTCCCCTAAACTCGTTGACAGCGGAACTCAACCTGTTCTGCAAAATATACAGTTTAAGGGATTTCAAAGGAGAACAAACAGAACCCGTAAACTGTTGGCTAATAAATTACATCTATTTGTTGTGTTTCTCAGGAAAACGATTGGTGTTGATTAGATAAAAGATGCAATGTCAAGAGTGAAATTTGAACCCAAGCCTCCTAACGGAGACCAGAAACCTCTAAGCAGGTAAAGATTGATTCCTTGAGTCTGGCGCCTAGGACCACTCTTCCATTCTCACTCTACATTTGTGGATCACAGTGCATAATATGATTAGATAACTCAAAATTCTATGAAATTTGGCGTATTAATAAATGCACAGCTGGGCAGTATTGCTCAAGCAGCCTGTGGTTGAGTAAGCACCAAGGACAATGTGATGCTATTGATCAAGAGTTTTGCACAAAACCAGCAGCTGTTCCATAAAGTTGGCTCTGTAATACAAGTGCATATATGCAGTCATTGAGTGGGACGACAAGACTGCTATTGTCAACATATCAAAACTGATTGCCCTACCTAGCACGACACTTGCAAAGTCAGCAAAGATTTGAAACACCTAACATGGAACTTGAACCCATGACCCTGAGATTAAGAGTCTCATGCTCTGCCAACTGAGCTAGTCAGGCTCAGTTTCCTGTTTTCGAGGGTGCTTTTAGATAAGCAGGAATGATAATATGGTTCGAAACGTAACAGAGCAGAAATGTGAATAACTAGATGATGATGGATGGACGGACGGACGGACGGACGGACGGACGGACGGACGGACGGACGGACGGACGGACAGACAGACAGACAGACAGACAGACAGACAGACAGACAGACAGATAGATACTACAAAGTTAATAAAAGTGAGATAACGGCATTACAGAACGTTCTGCAGTTCCATGAACAGCAGTCTTGTCCTGTTCTCTCTATTCATCTCCACACCGGACTCTGTGCCAAGGACATTAAGAGCACCACTGATGCACAAACAAAATGTCACATACCAAGGAAAGACTGGCTTAACAAACAAGGCCATGAGGCTGTCACATGACAGAGTGGATGGAGACCTGCAGAAGGCCTGAGGAGTTCAACAAGTTCTGTCCAAGAACTGTAACCCAGATGTTTCACACTTATGAAAGAGTTTCTGGAATCTGATCTGCAGCCTCCCTTAGCCCTGGTGACCCATATAGATGTCACCGCTGGCTATGTCGGAGAAAAACGGCTTGATGGGATTTCTTAGAACTCTTTGTTTGACTGTGGTTGTATAATTAAGAGCTGGTTAGTGTTTTTTCAGTTCTTCAGTTCTGAGCTTGACACAGATTATAAAATAACAATTATATAAATGTGGAGTTAATAAGTTCAGTCTTTGCTGAAAACACAGCTGACCAGGTATAGAAGCTTCAACCTGAATGTAAGGATGAACCAAAACAAAGCAGAGTCCTTCTAGACTGACGGAATAAGAAATACAGTCATAAACTCATTTCAGGAGAAGACCCCCACCTTAGTCCCCCGTGAACATCCAAGGGCAGAACATAGAAACTGTGGATAGTTTCAAATACCTGGGTGTCAATAACAAACTGGACTGGACTCATAACAGCGACGCCCTGTATAGGAAAGGCCCAGAGCCGCCTCCCTCCACCTCCTGAGGAGGCCGAGGTCCTTTGCAGTGATCAGGCCCCTGCTTCAAACCTTCTATGACTCTGTGGTGGCATCAGCCCTCCTCTACGCTGTCGTCTGCTGGGCCACTGGCAGCGCAGAGCGGGACATAAAGAGACTGAACAAACTGGTGAGAAAGGCCGTTTCTGTCCTAGGCTGCACTCTGGACTCTGAGAGGAGGCTGCTGTCCAAGCTTCCATCCATCATGGACGCCACCTTCCATCCTCTGCAGCAGACTGGAGAGGAGCTGAGCTGCTCCTTTAGTCAAAGACTTTTACAGCCTGTTTGGAACAAGGAGCGCTACTGCAGGTCATTCATCCCTGCTGCGACCAGACTCTATAATGAGACGCTACAACCGCAATAACTGCTGCAATGGAGAATAATTACTATTTAATACCCTGTGAAATAACCTGTTTCTCCATATCTGACACCCTGAGCATTTACTATATATATAAATATCCATCTCTATAGCAGGATATTTTCCTACAGAAACAGACGGATCTGATGCTAATGTCCAGAGGCTAGCTCCTAGAATGGCCCCCTGGTCGTTCAGGTAGTGAAAGTGGTATCAAGTTTCCAGTTTGTTGAACCTGAAGCTAAACATTAGCGCAGACCACCTGAAGTTCTTTAGCCAATAGATTCCTTCACCTGGGAGGATCAGATGTTCTGAAGTTAGAAACAGTTTAGTTAGTTAATGTCTTTATTACCCAGGTACACTAAACGCGTATACTAAACCCCTGCAACAGGCTAGCATTGGGCAGCGTTAGCTACCTAGCTACCCTCACAGCGCCCAGGTCATTACTTCGGTTTGATGCTCTACGGCGCCGTCTGTCCTTGACTGCTTCAATGCTCTGATGTGTCTGTGTCCAAGTCATTGTTAACGAGTCGCGCTCACGTCTTTATCGTCATCAAGTCCTTTTGACTCTTTCTTCGATAATGTTGGATTATATGTGAAATGAAAATAACTGACCATGTCTTTTAAACTTTAGATTTGGGGTCAGACAGCAAGTCTTTTCCAGGTAAACGTCTACGTCACAAGACTCCATCCCCCACCTCTACAAATCCCCTCACATTGCTTACTGGACTCTGAGATGGAACTCAGTCATAATAGAAACGACCAGAATCATGTGGTGTCCAGTCGAGGCGCCCTGAAAGCAGCAGGACATGATGGGATGGATCCACAGTCAGTTATTACAGCCAGAACAGAACCAAGGAGGCAGAGGGTCCTGTGTGTCATGGCTTTGGTTCTGTTTAAGTTTTCATTTCCAGTTTGTGTTTTCTGGTTGTCTTTGAGTTCTTATATATTTCTTGTTTACCCTCCCCTAGCTCCCTTCTAGATGCTTCCATCCACACCTGCTCCCCGTCTGCTGATTAGCCCAGTCTCTGTTCAGTCTCCCATCTATACTCCTCTTCAGCAGTTTCTCATTGCTGGTTCCTCGTCGTTCTTTGCTCCTTGTGTGTTTTCCCTGACGTCTCTTGTTTTTTGGTTTGCTGTATTTAGTGTTTAGACTTTACCTTATCTTGCCTTCGATCTACATTAAATCAGCAAATTCTCGTTTCTGCCGTTTCTTCTGTCTCTGAATTTGGGTCCTCTTTAATCCTCCACACAACCGGACACTCTGTTTATAGGAACAGCCTGGTTCTTCTCCTCTTTACATCAGTATGGAAATAAAACTAATTGATTTTGATCATTTTTATCAAAATTTAAAACAGACACCAAACAAGACAGATCTAGTAATAACTCTGAGCATCTAATTCTAGTCCAACAGGCAGCTGGTTGGTCAGGATGACCTCCGACTTCTTGGTTAGCTTCAGCCTGATTAAGATCCACAGGATTTTCAACGACAGCTCATCCTTTTTAGACATGCTTCATGGTTAAAAAACAACAACATTTGACCCTGTATATGTCAATATTTAACCAGACTCTGCACTCCACCATCTTTTGCACAGCACCTCCACACTTCCTCCATTTTGCATATGATTTATGTCATTTCAGTAATTATGCCCCCTGCTGTTATATAAGCTCAGTTTATATTTTGTTTTTCCCTGAAATCTGTCTGTTGAAATTGAAGCTCTGAGTGACGCAGTCTGTTACTAATGGCTAACAAAGACTCTTGAATCCAGCACCCCCTTCAGTGTCCACCATATTGGATCAGTCCATTTGCTGCACATGTTCAGAAAGGTCCAAACAGACAGCAGCAAACCATTTGAAAACAAACCATGCAAAGAGCAGTGTTGCTAACTTAGCGCTTTAGTCGCTATATTTAGCCACTTTTCAGACCCCTCTAGCACTTTGATTTCTAAAAAGCTCCTAGCGCCAAATCTAGAGACTTTTTTCTGCTACTGGAGACTTTGGAGACAACATCTAAAAGCAGCGAACTCTGCTCTCCAGAGCGAGTAGATTGGTAACCCCGCCTCCTGCTCTCCTCTATCTTGTCTGCTGTCATGATTCGTGCAGCTATTATTTCATCCAAATGAAAAATGGAGAACAGAGAAGCAGATCATGGCTTGTCTACAGTGAAAAGAAGGACTGGGTTATTTACTTTGGCCTTTTTGGAAACAGAGGAAGGAGCAATCAGCTACCAGGGAAAAAACCTAGAACAAATAATGGATGTCTATTCTATTTACATTTCTCTATCTGTAGAATGGGTCTGTTTAATGTGTTTTCTTCTCAGTTCAGAGGGGGGCCCTGCCTGTCTTTGCCTAGGGCCCCACATTTCCTAAATCCGCCCCTGCTTGAGTCGGAGGTTTTGCATCTGATCAGGATGTCATGAAGATGGATTGTTTCTATGTGAGCTTTTATCTTCTTTCTGTGTCAGTTTGCAGTTTGGCTTCAGAGAAACAGGCTGCAGCCCACACCCTGACCAGCACCGGAGCGGAGCGGAGCTGGTGTGCGCTACTGCGGTGTAACCAAGCTTTAACCAAAGTCTGAGCTCTGACTGGCTGCCTGTCTGCCTGCCTGGCTGGTAGATCCTCTGCAGGCCGTCAGGCTGCGTGTTCAGCAGCAGGTTCAGCTCCTGCCTTGCTCACCTGACTTCGGGTAGGTGACGATCCAGATGTCGCTGCTCCTCAGGGAGAAGTTGGAGATCTCCTCCATCTTCCCTCTGCAGAAGGGCGGCAGCCTGACTCCATCAAACTCAAAGTATCTGCTCTCAAACTCCACCGGGGTGCTCGGCGTGTCTGCCTCGCTCTCCGCCATCCTCCGGTGGACGGCACGCGCAACACACGCAGGCAGCTTCCGCTAAAAAGCACAGGAAGAATGATGATGATGATGATGATGGTGGTGATGATGAAGGCCGTGGCAGCTGCAGAGGAATCGGGCAGCGAGGTGACCCACGCAGCAAATCTGGAGGAGGAGAGGTGACGTAATGCGCGCCCTCGAGAACCAGCATCAGGACCAGTGTGCGCGCTCACAGGGTTGACTGGCTGCTCCATCAGTGTCCATAAATAACCTGACGACCATCCTGTATGAAACAGCAGGTAAAGAATGGGAGGAAACAGATGAGCTGGTTTCATGTCCTCAGAGCTGCAGGAGGAAACCTGATGACCAATCAAAGGATGGAAGGAAACAAACAAAAAAATAATCCAACAAGATGACCTTCAACCTTCAGTCTCTGATCACAGCGTCTGTCATTCAGTCCATCATGATTCCTGGCACTAGTGCTGGTCTGATTTATGGTTCAACACACCTATTAGCTCCGCCCCTTTTCCCAATCAGCCTCCATCAGATCCACCTGCTCTCCTGACCATCAAACCAACTCTAAGACCAGTTAGTAGCGCCAGATTATTAAGAGCCATCGGTGTGTTTAGTCCAGTGTTACTGTTACCTGATTCTGAACTTATTCTGCCTCCTGATTCTCTGAGCCTACCTGAACCCTATCAGACCTGTCATTTGGTTTTTGGATCTCCGACCTGCTTTCTGTACTCTGACCTGGCCCCCTGATTCTCACCTGGATTGTCTCTGGATCTGAGATTCTGACTATGGAGCAGCCCTCAGGTTTCTTATTCTGATTTGCCCCCTTGATCATTCTGCCTGTCTCTGCTCTCATGGTTCTGACCCAGGGCGTTCCCCTGGACCAACGAATGGGGAGACAACCAAAGTGGAACCATTGATGATAACAGACCATAAAAAACAGACTGGGATTCACCAAACTACATGTAGACCAGAAAGAAAAAACAGCTCTATGTTCACAGATGAAGAACAGAAGACCCAGCTGTGGAACATGGAGGAGGCTCTGTCATGCTGTGGGCTACTTTGCTTCATCTGAATCTCTGCAGGGTCCAATGAAATCTCCAGACTATCAGGGATGGTAGAGAGAAACATGCTGCAGTGCCAGAAAGCCTGGTCTCATCAGTAGCTCATGGGAGGAAAACATTGGAATGTTCTGAAGGGGCCACTAGGGGCCCTGGCCTCCTTCCTACTGAGCATCTATGGAAGGAGGTGAAACAGGAAAGGCAGCCTGAGACCCCTGGATGAGGAGTGGAGCAGAATATCTGCTGGGAGGAGCAGACGGCTGATTGACAGGAACATGAACCAATCATGGCAGAGATTGAATCTGAATGCTGGGAACTAAAGATGAAGTTCAGGGAACCATCGTTTCACTCCAATTTTAGTTTATTCTTTAAAAGCTACGTCTGACTTTCCTCTGCTCAGTTTTATAAACATTTCTTTATTATTACTCTCTCTGTGAGTATAGAGGGTTTTTTCTTTCAGTAACAGAGGAGAAGAAATTATTTTGTCCATAAATAGAGGAGGTCAGTGTAAAATCTCCTAGATATTTTTTTAATCCAGTTGCCAAACTCACCCAGAGCCATAGCTCTGTTGAAACGTCCATCCCACCTGCTCTTAGCAGGAATTATTTTATGGGATTCTTTAAATATAAGATTGATTATATTACAAATTACACCATTAACACTCCTCTAACTATGATTGGTTTATCTCTGGAATGTGAGGCAGCATCTGAGGTAGCCATAGAATCCGAACCGCGTTTAGAATGCTTTGATCCAGTTGAACTTTCAGAGTTGGCAAAACTATTGTCTTCAGAATCTGTTAGTTCAATCTCTAACGTTCTGCTCTCTCTGCTTTTTCTCATAGTAGCTTCATCTGGTCTGTTCCTGTTTGGCTGGGACTCCATCCTGGAGAGAAATATCAGCTGTGCTGCTGCCATCAACACCTTTGTGTATAGATGTTTATGCTCTGCCTGTTTTTCAGTGTAGTCCTGTTTCTCTGACTGTGACTAACTGGATGTGCTCTCTTCATCCTCTGACATGGGAGCTGGCTCAGAGCTCGTCTGCCTCGCTGTGTGTTTCCTGGATGGGGCCGCCTTTTACAGTTGCTTTTTATATCTATGCTTCTTTTTCTATGTCTGCTTCTGTCTCCTTGAACCCCAGTCGGCCTCAGCAGATGGCCGCTCACACTGAGCCTGGTTCTGCTGGAGGTTTCTTCCTGTTCAAAGGAAGTGGCAGAACGACCTTCCAATGTGGAATAAAAAGTCTCCCTATTTGTCTGATTTTAAATCGCTCCTAAAAACTCATCTGTTTGCTTTTTCTTTAAAAACGATGGGAGATGTTTATTTTAGGCTGTGATAAATGATTTTTATTTTATTATAGATTTTATGCTGTTATGTTTTTTTTTTTTGTCTTGTGAGTCCCTGTGATGGTTTGATGTTGTTTGTAGAGCACTTTGGTCCTTCCAGATATTTTAAAGTGTTTTATAAATAAAGCTGAATTGATTTGCTGAAGAGTCAATCTATTATTTCCTTTCTCTAGCGGCTCGTCCAGAATCCTGCTGAGTTACTGGATTCACTCAGCTGGTTCACAACTCAGGTCACCTCAGGTCACTTTATAGATCTAAATCAATCAGATCATCCAGTCAGATTACAGGTTCAGTGTCCCTTGTTAAGCAAAGCTCTGATCTGACTGGATGATCTGATTGCTTTGGATCTATAGTGAGATGAGCTGTGGATGGGAGCCATAGAAACAGCCTGGATCCAGGTAGGAGGTCAGCTCAGGCCTGAAATGAAACTAAAACAGCATTTTGTTGTTGTTTTGTTTCCTCTTTCCTGCAGTTTGTGAGAAGTCTAACCAGCACAGTCTAGAAGCAGCATTTCTACAGCATGTTCTGTCCTGCAGAGCTAAGGCGGCTGAGAAATTCTTTTAAGGCCAAATGTTCTGAAAGTTTGGAGATAAAAAGAGGAAAGTAAACCGTGATAAGGGAGCAGGACTGGGTTACTAATGGTCAGAGTGGTCTAAGTGACGTCACAGTCACATGACACCGTGCGTTGTGTTTGAGTCGAGTTGGATTTTCTGGCTTCCAGGGAAACTAAGCCAGACATGGAGAGGCTCTCTGTTTCAGAAACATGTTGGATCATCAGCAGCAGATAAAACGTTTCTCTGCTGATTAAAAATAGATTACCCCCCCCCCCATCGTTACATATTATAAGAAAAGACGTTCTGTCCCTTTAAGCCGGAAACAGCAGTAAATCCCACAGCCCTTGAACGCACCAGGGGCAGTTTAAAGCCGTTGTTTTCGCCGCTCCAGCTGCTCCTCTGCCTCCCGCCATGTTCGACCTGCAGGGCGGCTGGAACCTGTCCTTTGCGGGCTGCGGCTTCTTGGGGATCTACCACATCGGAGTGGCCAGCTGCCTGCTGGAGAAGGCCCCCTACCTGGTGAAAGGGGCCACCAGGCTGTACGGAGCCTCCGCAGGGGCCCTCACTGCCGCAGTGCTCGCGAGCCAAGCATGCATCGGTAAGCAAACCAGGAGCTGCTGCTTCCTCAGCTGTTAAACATCCTGAGAGGAAAGAAATGAAGCTGCTGCATGTTGGAGTAAAATCTGCTTGTTTGATGAATCAGAGGCAACTAGAAGCTGAATGACCTCTGACCCCCAGACCAGAGTCCACTCAGCTCCCTGACTCCTCTAACTGCTCTCTTCCAGCTAAATGCTGCGAGGACGTCATCGAGGTGGCGAAGGAAGCCAGGAAGAGGAACCTAGGTCCGCTCCACCCAACCTTCAACCTGGTGAAGGTCCTGAGGTCCGGCCTGAACCGGGACCTGCCCTCTGACGCCCACCTCCTGGCCTCAGGCCGCCTCTGCGTCTCCTTGACCAGAGTGGCTGATGGGGAGAACGTGCTGGTGTCAGAGTTCAGCTCCAAAGAGGAGCTCATCCAGGTCTGCATGGTGGTCCTGCTGGAACATCTGGAGATGTTCTGACCGGTTCTGATTAACCCTGTGCTCCGTCTGCAGGCGCTGATCTGTAGCTGCTTCATCCCCATCTACTGCGGACTCATCCCTCCGTCCTTCAGAGGAGTGGTAAGCCTGCGGTCGCCATGACGATGGTTGATCTAGTTGCTGGTTGGATGGAAAGGTCAACATCAGGAGATGTTTTCTGGAGACCCCCCCTTATGCCCCCCTTACAGCTCCTTGGAGCTTTTTCAAAAATGTAGGAACAACAGATTTTTTATTTTTTTTTGTTTGTTTTAACATGGTGCAGGAGGTCAAACAAAAAGAATGTTTCCCAGTGCTGTAAACATTTATATGATAAATAAATGTAAACAATAATTAGCGTCATAGCCATAGAGATCAGTGGTCATAACTTGCAGCCAGTGCGGCGCGGTGCCAGGTGTGACAAAAGGAAGATGGCTGATGAGCAAAGAGGGTTCAAAGAATGGAGCCAATCATTTGCTTTCATTATATGCTTTGTAATGAGAGGTTGTCAAAAAATAAAAATTTGGAAAGGCATTTCCAGGGAAGGCTACATCTGCAGCCCACCACCAAGCTAGGAGGGAGAGAAAAAAAAAGCGATCGCAGAACTTCTGGATAAATTAGAGGAGAGCAAAGATAGATTTAACAAGTGGATTGCATCTCCAAACTCCACTACTGCTGCTAGTTTGGTTGAAGCATAGAAAACCATTCATAGATCCAACAGGTAGTGCTCTGATGCAGGGATGGGAATTTTCTGCCATTTAAAAAAAAATCTAAATCACACCAAGGAAAGCTGGTGATGGAGGATGTGGGATTTCAGGGTTAGAGAGCTCTGCTCTGATGATGTCACTTCCTGCTTGGTTCCTCAATCAACTTCTCCCAACAGAAACACTTCTGGGTGGTCTTTATAAACACGGCCCATGATTGGGGTCTAGGTGGTCTTTATAAACACGGCCCATCATTGGGGTTTACGTGGTCTTTATAAACACGGCCCATGTTTGGGTTCTAGGTGGTCTTTATAAACACGGCCCATCATTGGGGTTTACGTGGTCTTTATAAACACGGCCCATGTTTGGGTTCTAGGTGTTCTTTATAAACACGGCCCATCATTGGGGTTTACGTGGTCTTTATAGACACGGCCCATGTTTGGGGTCTAGGTGGTCTTTATAAACACGGCCCATGTTTGGGGTCTAGGTGGTCTTTATAAACACGGCCCATGTTTGGGTTCTAGGTGGTCTTTATAAACACGGCCCATGTTTGGGTTCTAGGTGGTCTTTATAAACACGGCCCATGTTTGGGTTCTAGGTGGTCTTTATAAACACGGCCCATCATTGGGGTTTACGTGGTCTTTATAAACACGGCCCATGTTTGGGGTCTAGGTGGTCTTTATAAACACGGCCCATGTTTGGGTTCTAGGTGGTCTTTATAAACACGGCCCATGTTTGGGTTCTAGGTGGTCTTTATAAACACGGCCCATGTTTGGGTTCTAGGTGGTCTTTATAAACACGGCCCATCATTGGGGTTTACGTGGTCTTTATAAACACGGCCCATGTTTGGGTTCTAGGTGGTCTTTATAAACACGGCCCATCATTGGGGTTTACGTGGTCTTTATAAACACGGCCCATGTTTGGGGTCTAGGTGGTCTTTATAAACACGGCCCATCATTGGGGTTTACGTGGTCTTTATAAACACGGCCCATGTTTGGGTTCTAGGTGGTCTTTATAAACACGGCCCATCATTGGGGTTTACGTGGTCTTTATAAACACGGCCCATGTTTGGGGTCTAGGTGGTCTTTATAAACACGGCCCTTGTTTGGGTTCTAGGTGGTCTTTATAAACACGGCCCATGTTTGGGTTCTAGGTGGTCTTTATAAACACGGCCCATCATTGGGGTTTACGTGGTCTTTATAAACACGGCCCATGTTTGGGTTCTAGGTGGTCTTTATAAACACGGCCCATCATTGGGGTTTACGTGGTCTTTATAAACACGGCCCATGTTTGGGGTCTAGGTGGTCTTTATAAACACGGCCCATCATTGGGGTTTACGTGGTCTTTATAAACACGGCCCATGTTTGGGGTCTACGTGGTCTTTATAAACACGGCCCATGTTTGGGTTCTAGGTGGTCTTTATAAACACGGCCCATGTTTGGGTTCTAGGTGGTCTTTATAAACACGGCCCATCATTGGGGTTTACGTGGTCTTTATAAACACGGCCCATGTTTGGGTTCTAGGTGGTCTTTATAAACACGGCCCATCATTGGGGTTTACGTGGTCTTTATAAACACGGCCCATGTTTGGGGTCTAGGTGGTCTTTATAAACACGGCCCATGTTTGGGTTCTAGGTGGTCTTTATAAACACGGCCCATGTTTGGGTTCTAGGTGGTCTTTATAAACACGGCCCATGTTTGGGTTCTAGGTGGTCTTTATAAACACGGCCCATCATTGGGGTTTACGTGGTCTTTATAAACACGGCCCATGTTTGGGGTCTAGGTGGTCTTTATAAACACGGCCCATGTTTGGGGTCTAGGTGGTCTTTATAAACACGGCCCATGTTTGGGTTCTAGGTGGTCTTTATAAACACGGCCCATGTTTGGGTTCTAGGTGGTCTTTATAAACACGGCTCATGTTTGGGTTCTAGGTGGTCTTTATAAACACGGCCCATCATTGGGGTTTACGTGGTCTTTATAAACACGGCCCATGTTTGGGTTCTAGGTGGTCTTTATAAACACGGCCCATCATTGGGGTTTACGTGGTCTTTATAAACACGGCCCATGTTTGTGGTCTAGGTGGTCTTTATAAACACGGCCCATGTTTGGGTTCTAGGTGGTCTTTATAAACACGGCCCATCATTGGGGTTTACGTGGTCTTTATAAACACGGCCCATGTTTGGGGTCTACGTGGTCTTTATAAACACGGCCCATGTTTGGGTTCTAGGTGGTCTTTATAAACACGGCCCATGTTTGGGTTCTAGGTGGTCTTTATAAACACGGCCCATCATTGGGGTTTACGTGGTCTTTATAAACACGGCCCATGATTGGGGTTTACGTGGTCTTTATAAACACGGCCCATCATTGGGGTTTACGTGGTCTTTATAAACACGGCCCATGATTGGGGTTTACGTGGTCTTTATAAACACGGCCCATGATTGGGGCCTAGGTGGTCTTTATAAACACCGCCCGTGTTTGTGGTCTGGGTGGTCTTTATAAACACGGCCCATGTTTGGGTTCTAGGTGGTCTTTATAAACACGGCCCATGTTTGTGGTCTGGGTGGTCTTTATAAACACGGCCCATGTTTGTGGTCTGGGTGGTCTTTATAAACACTTTGGTAGAAGTCTGGAGGTCTGGGATTGTGGATGTTTGCCCAGCAGCTCACTGTGACCTGGATTCCAGCACTGCCCTACTTTCTGTCCCTCTGGAAAACAAACACTTTACTCTCTGCTGCCGTTTTCCCTGAACTGCTGGGAGTTTGCCTCTGATTGAGTAATCCCCTCGTCAGAAAGCTGACTTGGTCCACAAACAGGGAGAGAAACAAGGGGAGGGTGGAGAGGATGATGAAGGTGGAGAGGATGATGAAGGCCGGCCGAGTGATTCCGGCTTATATGGTCTACAGAACCTCCCAGCAATCTGATTGGCTAATGAGGAGCTGGTGACTGTTCCAGCTGCTGGTTTGGACTCTTACCTCCTAAATCCTCCCCCTCCTGTGGGTTTGGGTCCAGGGCTGATCCCTGATCCCTGCGTCCTGCCCTGGATTGGAAGTGGCTGTGGTTCTGATGTTCTAGTAAAACAGTGTTCTCCCACAGTGAGGAAGACGGTCACTGGGATCATCATCATTTGATTGGAAATAAATTCAATTCAATTCAATTCAGTTTATTTATATAGCGCCAAATTCACAACACATGTCATCTCAAGGCACTTTACAGTTCAACCAGATCATACAGTCAAATTGATACAGTTTTCTATCTAAGGAAAACCAGTTGATTGCATTGACTCATTGACTCAAATACAATCCCCCACACTAAGCATGCTTGTAGCGACAGTGGAGAGGAAAAACTCCCTTTTAACAGGAAGAAACCTCCAGCAGAACCAGGCTCAGTGTGAGCGGCCATCTGCCGAGGCCGACTGGGGTTCAAGGAGACAGAAGCAGAGATACAAAAAGCAGCTGTAAAAGGCGGCCCCGTCCAGGAAACACACAGCCAGGCAGACGAGCTCCAAGGCAGCTCCCATGCCAGAGGACGAAGAGAGCACATCCACTCAGTCACGGTCAGAGAAACAGGACCACACTGGAAAACCGGCCGATCTCCAACATCTATAAACAAGGGTGTTGATAGAAGCAGCACAGCTGATGTTTCTTTCCAGGATGACGTCACAGCCAAACAGGAACAGACGAGGCAAAGCTACTCTGAGGAAAAGCAGAGAGAGCAGAAGGTTAGAGATTGAACTAACAGATTCTGCAGAATAGGAGAACAGAGAAGAAGCAGAATGATGAAATGGGGGTCCCTATGTCCTCCAAAAGTCTAAGCCTATAGCAGCATAACTATAGAGATAGCTCAGGATAACCTGAGCCACCCTAACTATAAGCTTTATCAAAAAGGAAAGTTTTAAGCCTAGCCTTAAAAGTAGACAGGGTGTCTGCCTCACGGACTAAAACTGGTAGTTGGTTCCACAGGAGAGGAGCCTGATAACTAAAAGATCTGCCTCCCATTCTACTTTTAGAAATTCTAGGAACGATTAGTAAACCTGCAGATTGAGAGCGAAGTGCTCTGTTAGGAACATAAGGAACAATCAGATCTCTGATATAAGATGGAGCTTGGCCATTTAAGGCTTTATATGTGAGAAGGAGGATTTTAAATTCTATTCTTGATTTAACAGGAAGCCAATGAAGAGAAGCCAGGATAGGCGAGATATGATCTCTCTTTTTAATTTTCATTAGAACTCTGGCTGCAGCATTTTGGATCAGCTGAAGGCTTTTAACTACAGTTTGTGGACTTCCTGATAGTAAAGAATTACAATAGTCCAGCCTTGAAGTAACAAATGCATGGACTAGTTTCTCAGCATCACCCCTGGACAGGATATTTCTAATTTTTGTAATGTTCCTCAGATGAAAGAAGGAAATTCTAGAAACCTCTTTGATGTGGGATTTAAATGACAGGTCCTGATCAAAAATAACACCAAGATTTTTTACTTTATTATCTGAAATCAGTTTAATCCCATCCAAATGAAGTGACTGGCTAATCAGTTTCTTTTTCAGAGACTCTGGTCCAAAGACTATAACTTCTGTTTTGTCTGCATTCAGGAGCAGAAAGTTAAGAGTCATCCAGGTTTTTATGTCTTCAAGACATGCCTGTAATCTATGTAATGGGTTAGCTTCATCTGGATTTATAGACAGATATAGCTGGGTATCATCAGCGTAACAGTGGAAATTAATCCCATGCTGTCTAATAATTCTACCAATTGGGAGCATGTATAAAGTAAAGAGAATTGGTCCTAGCACTGATCCCTGTGGCACTCCACAGGTAACCTTTGAGCGTGTTGAAGACCAACCATTAACATGAACAAACTGAATTCGATCAGATAGATAAGATTTAAACCAGTCTAGTGCTGTTCCTTTAATTCCAACAAAATATTCAAGTCTTTCTAAAAGAATATTATGGTCAACTGTATCAAATGCAGCACTAAGATCCAACAGGACGAGCACAGATACAAGTCCATTATCTGAGGCCATGAGAATATCATTAGTGACTTTCACCAGAGCTGTTTCAGTGCTATGATGAGCTCTAAAGCCAGACTGAAACTCTTCAAAAAGTTCATTATGGTGGAAGTGATCGCAAACTTGTTTGACAACTACTTTCTCAAGAATTTTGGATAAGAAAGGAAGATTGGATATAGGTCTATAATTGACCAAGTCATCTGGGTCAAGAGACGGTTTCTTAAGCAGAGGTTTAATTACAGCAACCTTAAAAGCTTTAGGTACATATCCCTGTAACAGAGATAGATTAATCACATCTAAAATGGAGGAGGAGATCAAAGGGAATACCTCCTTAAATAACCTGGTTGGAACTGGATCTAACATACAAGTTGAAGTCTTAGATGAAGACAATAATTTTGCTAATTCAGAGAGTTCAACTGGATCAAAGCAGTCTAAACCCGGTTCAGATTCCATGACTACCTCAGGTACAATCGCGGATAGAGGAGTGCTTATGATCTTATTTTTAATAAGATCAATCTTATTTATAAAGAATCCCATAAAATCATTGCTGCTAAGAGCAGGTGGAATGGACGGTTCAACAGAGCTATGGCTCTGGGTGAGTTTGGCAACTGTATTAAAAAGAAATCTAGGATTATTCTTATTCTCCTCTATTAATGAGGAGAAGTATGCTGCTCTTGCTTTACAAAGAGTCCTCTTATACAGCAGTAAACCATTTTTCCAGACTAGGAAGGACTCTCGCAGGCCTGTGGAGCGATATTTTCTCTCCAGTTTCCTAGCATTTTGCTTCAAAGTACGCAGCTCTGCATTAAACCAAGGAGCAAGCTTTCTATTTTTAACGGTTTTCATTTTCAAAGGAGCTGCGTTGTCTAAGGCAGTACGCAGAGAACTAGCAACCCCATCAACAAAATCATCAACCTGTGAAGGGGAATAAGCTAAGCTTTTGCACTCTGCAGCACTGCTCAGTGACACAGAGGAGAGAGAAAGTGAAGCAGATTCTTTAAAATTTATAACTGCACTATCTGATAAAGATCTACTAAAATTGAACCTTCTTTTGGGGGAGGAGAACTCTGTTAAAGTAATCATGAAGGTTATTGGAAAGTGGTCAGAGAGGACAGGGTTGTGAGGAAATACTGTTATTTCTTCACATTCTATGCCGTATGTCAGCACAAGATCCAAAGTATGAAGATGAGAATGCGTGGGACTATTCACATTTTGAACAAAGCCAATAGTGTCTAAGATAGCATTAAAGGCTGCTCTTAAGCTATCGCCTTCAATGTCAGCATGGATGTTAAAATCTCCCACTATGATGACCCTGTCAGTATTTAATACCAAATCAGAAAGGAACTCTGAAAACTCATCTAAAAATTCAGAGTAAGGACCTGGTGGACGATACAAAGTTACAAAAAGAAGAGGTTTTCTTGCCTTGAAATTTGGATCAGGGAAATTAAGGGTTAAATGTTCAAAAGAGTTGTAGGTATTAATTGTTTTGGGAGTAATCAGTAAGTCAGACTGGAAGATTGTTGCTACTCCTCCTCCTCGCCCAGAACTTCTGGGGATGTGAAAATTTAAATAGCTTGAAGGAGTTGCCTCATTTATGCTCACATAATCCTCTTGCTGCAGCCAGGTTTCTGTAAGGCAAAACAAGTCAATGTGATTATCACAAATCAAGTCATTAACTAGTAGACTTTTAGAGGAAAGCGATCTTATGTTAAACAGACCACATTTAATTGTTTTAACTTTTTCCCCAATTGGAGTTATTTTGATTTTAATTAGATTATCATGATTTACTCCTTTGGGAATCTTTGCTAATTTATTAGATTTTGGTCGTGGGCAAGACACTGTCTGGATGGAGTAAAGAGTGGGTAACAGTAGAGAAGCTGCAGAGATGTGTGTTAAACTACAACTCTGCTTCCTGGTCTGCACCCTGGGTGGTCAGGGTTTTGGAGGACTAATAAATGTAGCCAGATTCCTAGAAAGAAGAGCTGCACCATCCAAAGTGGGATGGATGCCGTCTCTCCGAATCAGACCAGGCTTTCCCCAAAAGGATTGCCAATTATTAATGTAGCCCACGTTGTTTTCAGGACACCACCTAGACAACCAGCGGTTGAATGACGACATGCGGCTAAACATGTCATCACTGGTCAGATCAGGGAGGGGACCAGAGAAAATTATGGAGTCCGACGTTGCTTTGGCAAACTTACACACCGAAGCAACACTAATTTTAGTGACCTCCGATCGGCGTAACCGGGTGTCATTACCACCAGCGTGAATAACAATCTTACTGTATTTAACCTTATCCTTAGCCAGTAGTTTCAGGTAGGATTTGATGTCGCCCGTTCTGGCCCCCGGCAAACATTTGACTATGGTCCCTGGTGTCTCTAATGCCACGTTTCTGACTATGGAGCTGCCAATCACCAGAGTGGGCTTCTCAGTGGGTGTGTCACTGAGTGGGGAAAACCGGTTAGAAACGTGAACGGGTTGGTGGTGACCAGTGGGCAGAGATCCACGACTACGCTTTCTGCGTACAGTAAATAACTCTGTGAGGGGGGGGGTAACCTCCTGGTAAAGGTTTACTATCCGGTTTCAGCTTTCTAAACCTGAGCGGCTCTGATTGGTCAGTTCTGATAGAACCTTTCCTGGGTTTGTTGCAGCGCTACGTGGACGGCGGCATCAGTGATAACCTGCCTCAGTCGGAGCTGAAGAACACCATCAGCATCTCCCCGTTCTCCGGGGAGAACGACATCTGTCCGCGGGATAACTCCACCAGCTTCCACGAGCTGCGCTTGACCAACACCAGCATCCAGATGAACATGGGGAACCTGTACCGGCTCAGCAGAGCGCTGTTCCCGCCCGAACCCAGGGTGGGTCACCATCACCTTCTACTGCAGCGCAGTAGATCAAACTCTGCTGCCCCCTGGTGGCCGAGCAGCTCATCTTTATTTCCAGTTCAGTGAAAAGCCAAAGAGCAGGGTCACATTAACAGGTTGGCTTCCATTTAAAACAGAACCATGATAGATCCCATCCAGCAGCACCCGACATCCTCACTCATTTATTTCATCAGTAGAAACTGCTGGTCAGAGCCAATCAGAGGGATTCCTGCAGCCGGGCGTCCCCTCTGTTTGGTTAGAGTCAAGTTAATGATGGAAACAGTTCTGCTCTAGAAGCTGACCAGCTGAGACGGACAGAGCCTGAAGACCTCTGACATGTGGCGCCGAAGTGGAACCGATGGTTCTCTGGCAGCTTGCCTCCTAAAACCGCAGGGATAAGAATCCATCCAGAACGCTCCTGTTTGGTTACCAGGCAGCCCGTAAAAGATGGAGGCAAGGAAGGACTTCTAAATTATTTACAGCAGACTAGCACCTTCATCATTTCAGCAGCAATGTTAGCCGCAGCGCTAAAGTCGCTGCAATGCTAAAGTTGCTCTATTTATTCACTGGATTGCTGATGGACCGAAAAAAAAACTGAAGTGACCTGTCGCCATCTTGGTACTCCCCACACTCACGGAGTCGGGCCATAAAAATGCCTTTAATGTAATGTAATCAACATTACAATGTAATTAATACATGTTTATTTATATTTATATCTTTTAAAAACAAAGCGGAGTGTGTATGACATCATCCGCGTGCGCCGGCTACCGTTCATTCATCCTGTCCGCTGAACTGCTGCTAGTTTTCCTCACATGCCTGGAAGATGTCTAGTGCTGCTACCATAGATGATCTCGCTCTCCAAATGGAATTGAACGATTCAGATTAGCTAGAATGAATAGAAGGGGTAGAGCGTAGCCACCTGTGGCCCAGGCTGCCTGTCACTACTCCAGGCCGGCGTGCGGATGACATCATACACGCGCCGCTTTGTTTTTAAAACACCTGAAAATGAGAACATCATGGTTGTTCGATGCTGCAGCGCACAGATTGTTTACATTGTGACCAGTCTAACTAGGGAGTACCAACATGGCGGCCGGTTGCTTCAGTCCATCCTGTAGTACCAACAGGCAATCAGTAATAGAAATCAGTGATGAAATCCCCCCCTCCCATGATGGCGGAGGTCCAACACACACTCGGCCGCTGTGCAGGGTGACCCCATGACCTCTGTGGTGCGATGTCTGCTGGTCGTCTGTTGGCTGACAGCAGATGAGCTGATCAGGAGCATCGTGCTGCAGACGTCTTCTTTATCAGTGATTAGGAAATCTAGGTGACCAACATCTATGTGGGATCAGCGAGCCTTGGCCTCCATGCTGCTTCCTAGTTTACATTTTCTCCTCTGAACTTTAAAGGAATAGTACACCCAAAACATGATTAGCCTTCATTTTCTACTCACCCCCATGCTGAACAACACTCTGGAGTACTTTTTTGATATCTCAAATGCATCTGGAGATCTGGGAGGCTTCTTGCTGTCTGCTGACATTCAAATAATGGAGGTCTATGGCGCCCGAGACAGAAAGGTCCATAAAAGTCCACAAAAAACGTGTCAATATTCCTCCATACTGCTCGTCCAATGTATTCCAAGTGTCCTGAGTGGGTAGCATCCAGAATTTACTCGAAACGAAGTCATTTAGAATGTTTTTAGAGCATAAACAGTAGTGTATAGGATTTCCTGAAAGCGCGCGCCGGCGCGTTCACGAGCCTACGGAAGCCGGCAGACTAAACCAGCGCATTCAGCTCGGCAAAGAACTCATGCTCTTCCTCAACACTGAAGTCCTCAGACATTTTTCTTTCGTTGTTTCTTTCTTTGCACAGGTAAACAGCACATTTCTTCTTCTACGCTTGCATTATCGGCAGAGCAGACGCTGAATGCGCACTTTCATCTGGTTTGGTCTGCCGGCTTCCGTAGCGTCGTGAACGCGCATGTGCGCGCTTTCAGGAAATCCTATACACTACTGTTTATGCTCTAAAAACATTCTAAATGACTTTGTTTCGAGTAAATTCTGGATGCTACCCACTCAGGACACTTGGAATACATTGGACGAGCAGTATGGAGGAATATTGACACGTTTTTTGTGGACTTTTATGGACCTTTCTGTCTCGGGCGCCATAGACCTCCATTATTTGAATGTCAGCAGACAGCAAGAAGCCTCCCAGATCTCCAGATGCATTTGAGATATCAAAAAAGTACTCCAGAGTGTTGTTCAGCATGGGGGTGAGTAGAAAATGAAGGCTAATCATGTTTTGGGTGTACTATTCCTTTAAAGCTGAACTATAAACTCCCACATTGATTGGTCCCTAAATGCATCGACAGCATTGGCTTTTGCATAAAGTTCAGTAAAATTCAGATAAGGTTTTGGTTCCTTATTATATTAATTATATTAGTATCCTTTGCAAACGTGCAGTTAATTAGTCTTATTTGGCTTTAATCTGGTCCAGTAAAGATATAAACTAGTAATCTGGTCCATAATCCAGCAGTCCCAAAGACTCAGTGGAAGAAAATACAAACATTTAAAAAGTGATCTGAAAAGAATCAGCAGCTGCTGCTGCTGTAACCATGAACTGGGTGAACTGGGAGCTGTTCTGGTGATCAGCTGTAGTTTTATAGACGGATCCTGAAACAGGAGAAGGAAGTGGTCCAGCAGGATACTCTAGCAGCAGCTGTAGTTGTGTTCTGTTCCCTGTAGGTGGCGCCAGGTAAAGCAGAGCTAACATGATGCTGACAGAAAGCCTTCCTTCCTTCCTCAGGTCCTGGCAGAGATGTGTCAGAGTGGCTATAAGGACGCTCTGCGCTTCCTGGAGGAGAACAGTGAGTTCCTCCCTCCTCTGGAGTTGGGTCCTGTTCTCCGTATCTCTGTGACATTCCAGCGTGTTTTCTGCTCCCAGACCTGCTGATGCTGGAGCGTCCTCGTCCCGGTCTGCCCGACAGTCCCAGCAGCTGCTGCTGCTCTGAGCCCACCGAGACCACCAAGGAGTGGGTGCTGCGCAGACTCCGCCTGCTGCACGACAAGCACTGGTGGCTGGATGAGCAGCTGGATCTGCCCACCCAGATAAAGAAAGGTGGGACGTTTGTTCTGCCTTTGGAAGGGATTGCTGATGGGCTGCAGCTAATGATGCCATGGTTGTGTCTGACAGTGTTCTGTGAGGCCTGCCGGGATAAGTCGGGCCTTTACGCCAAGGTGTCTGGGATGCTGCCGCTGAGAGTGGCCTCCTACATTCTCCTGCCTTACACGCTTCCTGTCCAGTCGGCCTATTCTGTGGCCCAGAGGTAAGCTCCCAGCGAGCCCCACCCTGAACTCTCCTGTCAACCAGTTTAACCAGTTAGATGCCTGATGGAGAGCCATGCCCACCATCTTCCCAGGACCAGGAACCATTCCCACTGAACTAACCTGATCGTTCACACTTTGCTTTCTGAGTGTGAAGAAGTTTCCCTTCCCATCCAGGAAGCTTGAGTTCCAGGCTTCACATTGAACCTGGAAACCAGCTCCACCCCTCAGTAAAGGGAGTCATTGAGGTTGTATTGGCCTGTTATACCCGATACTGGTACATTCCTCTGAAAAGGCTGTCGTTAAGGCTCATTGTTGGCCTGGCCAGATGCTTTGTTCCCCTGAAACAGCGATGGAGGTTTAGATGATATTAAGGAATCATTGCTGTGCATCGCTATGAAAAACTCAACGCTATTTCTGACATTTAGAGCTGAAAAAGCTTCCTGGATGGAAGAGAAATGTCTTCAAACTTGAAAACAAAGTCCAGTTTGTTTTAACTTTTTTGGAATGACTCTGACCTGGATGACTGAGGATCTCCACCAGCAGTTTGTGTGAAAGGAAAAATTTAAAGATAACCTTTATTTGAAATGGTGTCTGATTTGTAGGCGATTAAACGCCATAAAAAGCTCTTTCTCTATAAAATCAGCTCATCTGGACTGAATGAGCTGCAGAACATTTGATCCACAGAGGTTTTACCAGGCAACACACCCAGCGCATTTCTGCATAAATAAAGGATATCGCTTCTACAGCCTCTTCTGCTTATTAGTGTTTTTATAAAGGTCATTTACCCCCATTTTCATTAAAAAGGAGCATCGGGAAACATCAGAACAGAACAGAATTCTGTGCTTTTTGTCTGAAAAAACAATTTTATTGAAAAAAAAACAAGATGAGGAAAAACAAATTAATCTGTAAAAAGATTGTTTGGAGATTGTCAGGTCTAAGCACCTAAAACATCATACATACAGGGAAACAAAGAAGGCACAGAGACGATTAATTTAGTTCCTCGAGGAGAGTAGGAAGAGACTGCAGAGTTTACAATCTCCACCCCACTCTGCAGGCTTCAGCTTTCTCCTCGCCATTTATTTAAGAAAAGGGGGTGTCCCTAATTACACCAGCTGAGGTTTAACTAAGGGGAAGGGAAACAAAAGGATCTTACTTTAAACCTCAGCACATATGTTAAAACAAAGCATGTGGTTGTTTTACAATTGAATTGTTCAAAGAACACATGTTTAGAAGAAACATGTGATAGAGGATGTTCAGGTCTCTTCCACAACCCGTCCGTTGCATGACCTTTATCTGGAACAATCTTAAGCAAGAGTTAATAAAAGATGAATCACACATTATACATCATAATAGTTCATTAGAACACAACCGATCAAACACAAACGGAGTATAAATAAAATATTTCTAACAGAGATCTAAAATAAAACTGTTAATAAATGTGCAGAAATATCAATAGATCTATATAACGCAGTATAAAAACAAACACATCAGTGTTAAAAAAGGTTAAATGATAAAAACTGTTTTTAGATCATAAACTTTCTGATTCCAACACAGTAAATCAAATGAAGCTGCCGTGATGCTATGAAGCTAAGTGCAGCCACAGCATGATGCTCTGCTGTCTGCCTGAAGTCCTGCATAGATGTAGATAAACTAGAGTCTGAAGAGCTGTTGTTTGCTGCAGGTTTGTGGAGTGGATCCCAGAGGTTCCAGCTGATGTTCGCTGGCTGTTTGGCGTCGCTGGAGACGTCTACAGACAGGCGTGGAGAATCAACCCCGCCGGCTCCACCAGGTGAACGATTCCTCAGTAATTCTATTCAGTTTATTTCTATGGCTCCCATTGATAGCATGTCACCTTACAGAGGCGATGCAGTCAGATTGGTTGAGAGGGAAACCAGCTGGTTGCATCCAGTCTGTGACCTGCAGGACCTGCTCCTCCTGGATGAACTGCAACTACCTTTGCGAGCATGCATGAGGCGACAGTGGAGAAAAACAAACTCCTTTGAAGAGGAAGAACTTTCCACTAGAACTAGCCTTAAAAGTAGACAGGGTGTCTGCCTCACGGACTAAAACTGGTAGTTGGTTCCACAGGAGAGGAGCTTGATAACTAAAAGACCTGCCTCCCATTCTACTTTTAGAAATTCTAGGAACCACTAGTAAACCTGCAGATTGAGAGCGAAGTGCTCTGTTAGGAACATAAGGAACAATCAGATCTCTGATATCAGATGGAGCTTGGCCATTTAAGGCTTTATATGTGAGAAGGAGGATTTTAAATTTTATTCTGGATTTAACAGGAAGCCAATGAAGAGAAGCCAGGATAGGAGAGATATGATCTCTCTTTTTTCTTCCGGCACATTTAATCAATATATTGAAAACAGTTTCTAGCTTTGGAGGATTTTACCTCATTTGGATGAAGATGTGGTGCCGCTGATGACCTCATATCTTTATAGTTCTGTGGAAATAAGGAGATAATGACTAACAAACATAAAGAATCAACCTGACTGTCAGTGACTTGATATTATTGAATAAAAAAGGCAGAAATGTGTTTATAATCCCTCTGAAGGTGTCCATTGACTGAATGATGTTCTCTTACAGCGAGCGCTCCCTGAGGAAGTGCCTGAGCGTCCCTCCGCTGCCTACAGAGACCGACTGTCCCACACAGACTATGGCGCCTGCTCTGTCTTCTCTGGAGCTCCGCAGGGATTACTGGAACATCCAATCATCTACCTCGCCTGCCCCCCACCTCCCCGCTCTCCCTGCTCCGGCCTCCCCGCAGCCAGTCTGCTTCTTTCTGGGCTCCCAGGATGAACCTCAGAGCCCTGAGCAGCCGTGACAAACATCCTGAACTCGAGCTAAGCTCCGCCCCCTCTGGGTGAGGTTAGGGTGACTGATGGGAGCGAATGACTCTAACATGTAGAGGGGCGGGGCGCTGCCTTCTGCTGGGCGTCCATGTGCCTCGGAGCAAAGAGTAACGCTACGTGCTGCTTTGCGTTGGAAAAGTCGTGTCCTTTTTAGGGCGGGGCTTCTGTCCATGAACCAATCAGACGTTAGTGGGAGGAGTTCAGCAGGTGCCTTAAGGTGGTTTTCGAAATCAGTTCCTTAGAAAAAAAAAAAGCAGTTTTTATGTCAGAGATGTTAAAAAAGAAACTCTTTTTTCTGTTTTTTATTCTTGTTTAATTTAATGTCAATTTAACCCTAAACGTTCAGAATGTTTCCTCTTTACCAGCACAGCATGTCTCTGCTTATTAAGGCTGAGCTATGAAAGCACTTCTTAGACCACATGTCACTTTATAGATCCAGATCAAGCAGTCAAATTAGAGGTTCAAAGTTTTCTTTCTAAGGAAAACCAGCTGGTTGCATCCAGTCGGGAGACTGCAGGAATCCCGCAGCCTGATGGTTCTTCTCCTGATCAATAAAAGGCTTTTAGAAGCTTAAACATCTAGAACAAAAAGTCCTAAATGATGCGAATGTTTGATTCTGTGTGATATTTGAAAGTCCAGGTAATGTTTGGTGGAGGTTGGAGGTGTGGGACACCAGTAGCCTGCTGGGTCTGACCGTCTGATTGATCTATATCTGGTCTGAACAAAGAGCCGCAGGCAGAGGACGGGAAGTCTGAGGTTTGACTTTAGAAGGTCTACATGTGTCCGTCTGGACCTGATGGACGGCGAGGGGACGTACGGCTGCGTCTACATCACTCAGCGACCAATCATCCAACAGCTTCCCTGCTTTCCACCCAGTCTGACTCAGCTGGAGTGTTTAAACATGATGGGATTTCTGCTCCAGAGCAGAGGATGTTGAGGCTTTCTTATGGTCTGTTCTCTTCTAATCCAGCCTTAATCTGCTGCTTCCATCCCAGTCCCACCCTGCCCTCACTAATCCAGGATTAATAATTTTATTCTGGGCCGTTTTTAGGCGCTGCAGATCAGATGAGGACTGATGAGGTCCAGCAGTTGTTTCCAGGTCTTCCCATCCGTATCTCATCCTCTGCTGCTTTCCCAGTAGCCCAGTAAACTAACTGAATGGCTCCCAGCAGGCGGATGGTGCTGAGCTGGAGGTTTGCTCCACGGATAAACCTCCGTCAGTTTAAAGCTTGGAAATATGGATGGAAGAGAAGTTTCTGCTCCTCAATCTGAAACGCTGTGTTGCTTTATTTGCAATAAAGATCTATAATCTGTCTGAGTTTGGATTCATCTTCTGAAAAACTTGACCATCATTAAAGACTGTTTTTAATGCCTGGTTACAGAAACGGTTCTGTTTTATAGATGTGTGGCTTCTAGAGAGAACCCTCTCCAGCCTTCCTGTTTTCCACCCTGAACATCCGATGTTAGAGTGATCAAATGTGTGACAGCGCCTCTCGTTGCCTCTGTGGTTCATTGGTTTGCAGAAAAGGTTGAAATCCCACCGATAGTTTGGCTCATGGGTCAACATCTGGTTCCACTTTGTAGGTCAGAATCTAAGAGGTGAACATCTACGTCCCTGAGTAGGATCAAACCATCAGACAGGAATATGGAAAGAAAAGAACCTTTACGGATCTAATTCAGCGGTTCTGGATCATTAAAACATTTTAAATGATGTCTCTCTAAATTACATTCAATGAAAGGAGCAGATTAACGTCATCGTCTGTGTTTGCAGGATAATATGATGAAGAGTCACAAACATGTTTTAACTGATCAGCAAATATTAACAGGAACCAGAGGCTACTTCTGCTTCCGCCCACAAACAGGAAGCAGTGACGCAACCAGCTGCTGATCCAGATGTCCGACCTCTGCAGAACAACACTATCATCTCTGAGGAACTGGAACACCTACAGCAGGGGTGATCAGGTCCAGTCCTCCAGAGCTACCATCCTGTAACGTTTAGGTGCATCTAAAACAAACCTGAATCTAAAGAGTTAATCCCCTGATTCAGCTCAGCAGAGGCAGGATGACCAGGATAACCATTGATTCAGGGGGGTTAGAACTGGACCAGAGCGCCCTGACCTGCAGGGTGGATGGCCCTGCGCATGCGCGCTGGATCCTCATCTGCACTTCCTTACTGTGCATTACGGTAAAAACAGCTGATTCCAGAATAAAGGCAGTTTTATCAGAGGTTTTCACATTAAAGTTAAAACAGTTTTAATAATTTAATCTGTTATAATTCAGCAACAATTAGCATTTATAGAAATCAGCAGATCTGGTAACAGAATCACATTTATGTTCGCTTTCCAAACTGAACCCAGTTTAAAAACTAAACCCTGTTTAAAACCTGAATCCAGTTAAAAAATTTAACCCAGTTTAAAACCCTGAACCTAGTTTAAAAATTTAAGCCAGTTTAAAACCCCGAAACCAGTTTAAAAACTGAACCCAGCTTCAAACCTGAACCCAGTTTAAAACCTGAACCCAGTTTAAAAACTGAACCCAGTTTAAAACCCTGAACCTAGTTTAAAAACTGAACCCAGTTTAAAACCCTGAACCCAGTTTAAAAATTTAACCTAGTTTAAAACCCTGAACCCAGTTTAAAACCTGAACCCAGTTTAAAAACTGAACCCAGTTTCAAACCTGAACCTAGTTTAAAACCTTAACCCAGTTTCAAACCTGAACCCAGTTTCAAACCTGAACCTAGTTTAAAACCTTAACCCAGTTTAAAAACTGAACCCAGTTTAAAACCATGAACCCAGTTTAAAAATTTAAGCTAGTTTAAAACCCTGAACCCAGTCTAAAAACTGAACCCAGTTTAAAACTTCAACCTAGTTTAAAACCTTAACGCAGTTTCAAACATGAACCCAGTTTCAAGCCTGAACTCAGTTTAAAACCTGAACCCAGTTTCAAACATGAACCCAGTTTCAAACCTGAACCCAGTTTAAAACCTGAACCCAGTTTCAAAACAGAACCCAGTTTCAAACCTGAACCCTGTTTAAAAATTTAACCTAGTTTAAAACCCTGAACCCAGTTTAAAACCTGAACCCGGTTTAAAAACTGAACCCAGTTTCAAACCGGAACCTAGTTTACAACCTTAACCCAGTTTCAAACCTGAACATTGTTTAAAACCTTAACCCAGTTTAAAAACTGAACCCAGTTAAAAAATTTAAGCTAGTTTAAAACCCTGAACCGAGTTTAAAAACTGAACCCAGTTTAAAACTTCAACCTAGTTTAAAACCTTAACGCAGTTTCAAACATGAACCAAGTTTCAAACCTGAACTCAGTTTAAAACCTGAACCCAGTTTAAAACCTTAACCCAGTTTCAAACATGAACCCAGCCTCAAACCTGAACCCAGTTTAAAACCTTAACCCAGTTTCAAACCTGAACCCAGTTTCAAACCTGAACCCAGTTTAAAACCTGAACCCAGTTTAAAACCTGAACCCAGTTTAAAACCTTAACCCAGTTTCAAAAACAGAACCCAGTTTCAAACCTGAACCCAGTTTAAAACCCTGAACCCAGTTAAAAAATTTAAGCTAGTTTAAAACCCTGAACCCAGTTTAAAAACTGAACATTGTTTAAAACCTTAACCCAGTTTAAAACCTGAACCCAGTTTAAAACCTTAACCCAGTTTCAAACATGAACCCAGCCTCAAACCTGAACCCAGTTTAAAACCTTAACCCAGTTTCAAACCTGAACCCAGTTTCAAACCTGAACCCAGTTTCAAACCTGAACCCAGTTTAAAACCTGAACCCAGTTTAAAACCTTAACCCAGTTTCAAAAACAGAACCCAGTTTCAAACCTGAACCCAGTTTAAAACCCTGAACCCAGTTAAAAAATTTAAGCTAGTTTAAAACCCTGAACCCAGTTTAAAAACTGAACATTGTTTAAAACCTTAACCCAGTTTAAAAACTGAACCCAGTTTTAAACCCTGAACCCAGTTAAAAAAATTAAGCTAGTTTAAAACCCTGAACCGAGTTTAAAAACTGAACCCAGTTTAAAACTTCAACCTAGTTTAAAACCTTAACGCAGTTAAAAACATGAACCAAGTTTCAAACCTGAACTCAGTTTAAAACCTGAACCCAGTTTAAAACCTTAACCCAGTTTCAAACATGAACCCAGCCTCAAACCTGAACCCAGTTTAAAACCTTAACCCAGTTTCAAACCTGAACCCAGTTTGAAAACATAACCCAGTTTCAAACCTGAACCCAGTTTAAAACCTGAACCCAGTTTAAAACCTTAACCCAGTTTCAAAAACAGAACCCAGTTTCAAACCTGAACCCAGTTTAAAACCCTGAACCCAGTTAAAAAATTTAAGCTAGTTTAAAACCCTGAACCCAGTTTAAAAACTGAACCCAGTTTAAAACTTCAACCTAGTTTAAAACCTTAACGCAGTTTCAAACATGAACCCAGCCTCAAACCTGAACCCAGTTTAAAACCTTAACCCAGTTTAAAACCTTAACCCAGTTTCAAACATGAACCCAGCCTCAAACCTGAACCCAGTTTAAAACCTTAACACAGTTTCAAACCTGAACCCAGTTTAAAACCTTAACCCAGTTTCAAACCTGAACCCAGTTTAAAACCTTGAACCCAGTTAAAAAATTTAAGCTAGTTTAAAACCCTGAACCCTGTTTAAAAACTGAACCCAGTTTAAAACTTCAACCTAGTTTAAAACCTTAACGCAGTTTCAAACATGAACCCAGCCTCAAACCTGAACCCAGTTTAAAACCTTAACCCAGTTTAAAACCTTAACCCAGTTTCAAACATGAACCCAGCCTCAAACCTGAACCCAGTTTAAAACCTTAACCCAGTTTCAAACATGAACCCAGCCTCAAACCTGAACCCAGTTTAAAACCTGAACCCAGTTTCAAACCTGAACCCAGTTTGAAAACATAACCCAGTTTCAAACCTGAACCCAGTTTAAAACCTGAACCCAGTTTAAAACCTTAACCCAGTTTCAAAAACAGAACCCAGTTTCAAACCTGAACCCAGTTTAAAACCCTGAACCCAGTTAAAAAATTTAAGCTAGTTTAAAACCCTGAACCCAGTTTAAAAACTGAACCCAGTTTAAAACTTCAACCTAGTTTAAAACCTTAACGCAGTTTCAAACATGAACCCAGCCTCAAACCTGAACCCAGTTTAAAACCTTAACCCAGTTTAAAACCTTAACCCAGTTTCAAACATGAACCCAGCCTCAAACCTGAACCCAGTTTAAAACCTTAACCCAGTTTCAAACCTGAACCCAGTTTAAAACCTTAACCCAGTTTCAAACCTGAACCCAGTTTAAAACCTTGAACCCAGTTAAAAAATTTAAGCTAGTTTAAAACCCTGAACCCAGTTTAAAAACTGAACCCAGTTTAAAACTTCAACCTAGTTTAAAACCTTAACGCAGTTTCAAACATGAACCCAGCCTCAAACCTGAACCCAGTTTAAAACCTTAACCCAGTTTAAAACCTTAACCCAGTTTCAAACATGAACCCAGCCTCAAACCTGAACCCAGTTTAAAACCTTAACCCAGTTTCAAACCTGAACCCAGTTTCAAAACAGAACCCAGTTTCAAACCTGAACCCAGTTTAAAACCTTAACCCAGTTTCAAACCTGAACCCAGTTTCAAAACAGAACCCAGTTTCAAACCTGAACCCAGTTTCAAACTGGTCTGAGTCTGTTTCCATTGAAAACCTTGAGGTACCGTAATGCATCGTATAGGCGCGCAGAGGCCCGATGAGGAAGGATGGCGGAGCCTGAGGACGGGAAGCGACGGTCGGTGACTTCTAACGCTGAGTCGGACCAATCAGGACCTGACGGGAGCCTGGATAAGGCGGTAAAAACAGCACTGTTTGATGTCATCGCTTTGATCTGGCCTGACGTCAGATGTTAGCGGTCCGGCCGGGCCGTCACCGTGACGCATACGGGTTGTGTGATGGCAGATGCAGACAGAGGGCTCGTGCCTCCTGCGGAGGATGGAGATCTGCGTGTCTGAGGCGGAGAAGAGGAGCGGGAGGAACGCGGTGAGCATGCAGGAGACCTTCACTGTCTACCTGCTGGAGACCAGGTGAGCTCAGCTGCTGCACGCGGAGCGGCGGATCCTTCCTTCTGTGCTGATCTTCTCTCTGATCAAAGATCCATGGAGGCGATCGCTGAGGGCCTGAACCCCCCGCCTGACTGCCTGTGGAGGAGGTACAGCGAGTTCGAGCTGCTGAGGAACTACCTGATAGTCACCTATCCTTACATAGTGGTGCCCCCCCTGCCTGAGAAGAGGGTGAGTGACACCCCCCCCCCCCCCCCCCCCCCCCCCCCCCCCCCCCCAGGGGTTTTAAGCTCAGGGATCCCCCCTCAGTCGGTATTTGATGATGATGATGATGATGATGACAAATGTCAGTCAGGAGCTGCTGATGTTCCAGGCTGGTTTGTATGGAGGACCAATCCTGCCTTAAAAAAAGGACAATTAGTGAATATAAGTAAAGAAAACTAACAAATATAAAATATATGTATATACAGTCATGGCCAAAAGTTTTGAGAATGATTCAAATGTTAATATTCACAAAGTCTACTGCTTCAGTTTTTATAACTGCAATTTGCATATATTCCAGAATGTTATAAAGAGTGATCAGCGTAACAGCAATTAATTGCATATCAATATTTGCCTAGAAAATGAGCTTTATCCCTCAAAACACATTTCAACGTCATTGCAGCCCTGCCTTAAAGGGACCAGCTAACATTGTTTCAGTGATTGCTCCATTAACACAGGTGTGGGTGGTGATGAGGACAGGGCTGGAGATCAATCTGTCAGGATTCAGTCAGAATGACACCACTGGACACTTTAAAAAGAGGCTGGTGCTTGGCATCATTGTGTCTCTTCTGTGAACCATGGTTATCATTTCAAGTTGAATGTTTTAACTTATTTAACATTTAAATTTTTTATATGTAAACAATTATCTGACAACCAAAATGCTGTGGTTGATTATGCACATCAATAGACTAACATTAAAGATGATAAATACAGAATTCATGCTCTATTCAGAACTAGATTTTGTCTCTATTAGGTAAAGAGAAAATTATGTCTTTGCAAGTCATCTAAGAGTCTTTACTGATATCAGAGATAAATAACTATTTAAATAAAAAGTAATCCAGAAATCCAAAAAAGTAATTTTTTTGACAGATGAGGTTTTTACTGAAAAAGTGATGAGAAATACAGTACAGTATACACAATATACACAACATACATTTATACACAAATACATTTTGCTCCCAGTCTGAAAAAGTACAAAACATTTTGTGAGTAGGTTCTTACAGGTCATTTCTGGATAGTTTCATACTACGAAAAAAAAAAAAAAAAGAAATATTAAAAAACAACAAAATAACACTTTTTCATATTAAGCAGGATTTACAACGGTATCACATTTGTAACTTTGTTTCTCACACTTTTGGTTTTATTAAAGGTAATACATTTTCTCAGTTGCCAAAACAAAGATGTAGCAGCTCTGTAAAGGCTCACCAGAGAGCATAACATGACGTTACCGTGCGTATAACAGCCAAATGCGGCGATTTCCATGTTGCTCAGCAAAAAGCTTCACAACTTTAGCTAGATCTAATGCCTTTGTGCGTTTATATTCAATGCTGACAAACCGATAGTCTCTTTTCTGTCATAGATGGTGGTAAATATGTCTTCATGAGTGTTTTTAACCTGTTTCATCCCGTGTCTCCTTTCCACAAGACCCCTGGCTCACTCCCTTTGCAACACACAGTTTTCAAAACATATCAGTCTCTGATTGTCTGATGCCGCTCTGGCGTCATCTCATGCTGCATTCACAGCAGTCCGACATTGAAGATTAGCAGTCGGTAATTGTCAAATTAGCCATAATTTATAAGCTGTCTTTTAAATGCCACCCTATGCCACCCCAGTAGATCCGCCTATGATGACAATGAATAAGATGTTCACCCCAGAACTAAAATTTTAAAGAATTTTGTCCACTACACCTTTAATTAGGACAGCATGGACGTTTAAATATATGTGTCTATTTGTTAGCAAAGGAAATATGGAAAACATTTTCCTTTTGGAACAGTATAGATTGACCCTGAGGTTCTGGTGCCTATCCACTTTCGCCCCCCCTCAGTGTTCTTTGGTTACTACCTGGACAGCCTTATTAACATTTCCTGGCTATGCCTCTGGTGAAACGTGATTAAAATCACCAGTTGTTGCCATAAACGGTTCAGGTTTGAGGCGCTCCTTTATTCTTCCCTGTGGAATAAAACTCTAATATACTCTAATATTTCCGTGTCTCTGCTTGCAGGCAGAGTTTGTGTGGCACAAGCTTTCTGCAGACAACATGGACCCGGACTTTGTGGAGCGCCGCAGAATCGGCCTGGAGAACTTCCTGCTGCGTGTGGCCTCCCATCCAGTTCTCTCCAATGAAGAGATGCTCTACCACTTCCTCACCAAGGTAAGGAATGTAGATCTTTAGTATGAGCGCCTGTAGCCGTGATGTGCCTCCTGGTTTCCTCTGTGCAGGAGCACGGCTGGAAGGAGATGGTGTTTGAGACGGGATTTCAGGCAAAGGTACCGGAGTGGAGCTCGTCTCTCAGTCCTTTGGTTATCGTCTTTATTCTGAAACATTTCCCCACATCTCCTCTGCAGGCAGATTCCAGGCTTAGAGCTTTAAACGCCACCTTCAGGGTGAGGAGTCCCCATAAGTAAGTCCAACACTATCAACTCAACTCTCCATGAATGTTAACAGATCTGTGCATCAATCCATCCGTGGAGGCAGAGACAACAGCAGCTTTAGGTCTATCCTTCATAGCAGAGCAGTGGCTCTAAACTCAACCAGTCACCATGAACTAACGGGCAGAGTGGGAGTTTCCCAGCAGGGGGCGTCATTTCTAACCTGGCATGAACCTGATAGATCCTTTAGTTCAGGGATGTCAAAGTCAAAAACACCAATTTGCTCCAAGCTGAGGGCCGGACTGGTTAGAAGTTTATTAAAACACATTGAAATGAACATAGCCTATTGAACCAAGACCCAACACATTGTTTTTTAAAAACAAAATACTATCAATGTTATTAATACACTTTTATTATATCAATAAACATATTAAGGTAAATATATAAATAAACATGCATGCATTATAAACCAAAAATGCATTACTGTGCTGCTCTATGATCCAACCCATCACTGCTTTCAAATAGTAAAATAAGAAAAGAAAAAAAATTGAATCAGATGTATTTCTCTCATGGCTCTTATCTGCATTTTCCCCTGAGTCCATTCAACTAAAAAAAAAATATGAATAAATAAAATAAAATACAGAAATCTATGTTCCCCAGACAAAACAATACTTTCTTCAAAGAAAAATCACAGCAGCGGGCCCAGAATTCAGCCAGAGGTTCTTTAAAAAAGGAATTTATTCAACAAAAAGCAGAGCAATATCAAAAAGTACAGAATAACCACAAAGACTACAGAGTACTCACTCCGCCTCCTCAGACAAGGCCAGCTTGGATTGTTAAAGAGGGAAAAGTAAAAAACAAAATAATCCAAACATGCAAAGCACAAAAAAAAAAATGTAAATAAAAGAAAAACACAATCATGTTTTCCCCTGGAAATATAGTGTTGGTGTGTGCAACACAACTGCACCAACACTACATTCCCCACAATGCAACGGTAGCCTGCAAAGTCACAGCAGCGCACACAGGCGGCCGTGGCCTGTGGGCCGGTTCTAATGGTCATTAAATATCATCCAGGGGGCCGTGGATAATTCGGCCCACGGGCATTGGCTTTGACATGTATGCTATTCTACACAGCAGACATGTGGAAAGTCTTCATAAATGGAGGGACATTCCGTAGAATTCTCCAAGATGATTGGATAATTCACCAAGCTGCACCTGCCTCCGTGTTGAGCTGTTAGCCAATCACAGCAGCAGAGGCAGCTACCTTCAGAGGCTCCTAATGTAGCATACAGCGGCTTCATGGTGCTAATCAGAACATCTGGAACATGGACAGGGGTCAGAGTGTGCTCCTCTCTTTGACCAGGAAAGCTGGAGCACATGAAGCGTCATCGCTGTAACACTGAATAAATAGACATGTCAAAGAGGTGGGTTTTTGACCGGAAATGGGATTCCAATGTTTTTAATGTCTCATTCTCAGACGCTTAGTGGAGATGAAACATTACAGCGATGGACTCCAGTCGCACACATCTCAGCTGCTCCGAGCACGAACTGTAAGTTCCTATAGCTCCTGTTCTGTTAGCTCCTGTTCTTATAGCTCATGTTCTGTTAGCTCCTGTTCTTATAGCTCCTGTTCTGTTAGCTCCTGTTCTTTTAGCTCCTGTTCTGTTGGCTACTGTTCTTATAACTCCTGTTCTGTTAGCTCCTTTTCTTATACGGTAGCTCCTTTTCTGTTAGCCCCTGTTCTGATAGCTCCTGTTCCTTTAGCTCCTGTTCTTATAGCTCCTGTTCGGTTAGCCCCTGTTCTGTTAGCTCTTGTTCTCTTAGCTCCTGTTCTGTTAGCTCCTGTTCTTATAGCTCCTGTTCTGTTGGCTCATGTTCTTATAGCTCCTGTTCTTATAGCTCCTGTTCTGTTAGCTCCTGTTCTTATAGCTCCTGTTCTGTTGGCTCCTGTTCTTATAGCTCCCATTCTTATAGCTCCTGTTCTGTTGGCTACTGTTCTTATAACTCCTGTTCTGTTAGCTCCTTTTCTTATACGGTAGCTCCTTTTCTGTTAGCCCCTGTTCCTATAGCTCCTGTTCCTTTAGCTCCTGTTCTTATAGCTCCTGTTCGGTTAGCCCCTGTTCTGTTAGCTCTTGTTATCTTAGCTCCTGTTCTGTTAGCTCCTGTTCTTATAGCTCCTGTTCTGTTGGCTCATGTTCTTATAGCTCCTGTTCTTATAGCTCCTGTTCTGTTGGCTACTGTTCTTATAGCTCCTGTTCTGTTGGCTCATGTTCTTATAGCTCCTGTTCTTATAGCTCCTGTTCTGTTGGCTACTGTTCTTATAGCTCCTGTTCTGTTAGCTCCTTTTCTGTTAGCCCCTGTTCTGTTAGCTCCTTTTCTTATAGCTCCTGTTCTGTTAGCCCCTGTTCTGATAGCTCCTGTTCTTATAGCTCCTGTTCGGTTAGCCCCTGTTCTGTTAGCTCTGGTTCTCTTAGCTCCTGTTCTGTTAGCTCCTGTTCTTATAGCTGCTGTTCTTATAGCCCCTGTTCTGATAGCTCCTGTTCTTATAGCTCCTGTTCGGTTAGCCCCTGTTCTTATAGCTCCTTTTCTGTTAGCTCCTGTTCCATTAGCTTCTGTTCTGTTAGCCCCTGTTCTGTTAGTTCCTGTTCTTATAGTGCCTGTCCTTATAGCTCCTGTTTTGTTAGCCCCTGTTCTGTTAGCTCCTGTTCTTATAGCTCCTGTTCTGTTTGCTCCTGTTCTTTTAGCTCCTGTTCTGTTAGCTCCTGTTCTTATAGCTCCCGTTCTTATAGCTCCTGTTCTGTTGGCTACTGTTCTTATAACTCCTGTTCTGTTAGCTCTTTTTCTTATACGGTAGCTCCTTTTCTGTTAGCCCCTGTTCTGATAGCTCCTGTTTAGGGTTGGGAATTGAAAAGATTTTCACGATTCCGATTCCCTTTTCGATTCTATGAAACGATTCGATTCTTTATCGATTCTTTTTTCGATTCCAATTTGGGGGAAAAAGGAGAACAAACAGTTTGATTATCAGAATCAACTTTGTTTACTTAACTATTGCACAATCTTACAAACTCAACAAGATCAAGATGTCCACAGGAAATGTGAAACTGGAGTAACATCTGTGTTTAAATGAAAAATGAATACAAGAACAAACTTAATAACCAACAATGTCTAATAACAAATGATGGGATAATAACCCATTTTAAATAACAAAAAATACTAATTATAAAACAGTAGTAGCACTGCAAAAAATGTAAATCTAAATAAGTCATTTGTTCTTAAAATATGTTCATTTTTTCTTGAATTGAGTAAGTAAGTGAGACATTTTGCCAATGGAACAAGACAATTTACATTTGAAATAAGAAAAAAACTATTGCATTGTCTTATTTCAAGTGCATATTATCTAATTATCTTATTTTAAATGTAAAAATACTCATTCCATTGGCAAACTATCTTATTTACCTGCTCAAATTAAGGGTAAATACACTTGATTTAAGATATTTTTACTTAATTTCAGATCGTTTTTGCAGTGAGGGAAAATTAACAATTCTTTTGCAGAAAGATGAGCATATCTGCTTTTTCTGGAAGGATACGGGATCTTTCAGGGCTTATGGTGTCTCCAGCCGTGGAGAACACCCTCTCAGATGGGGTGGAGGAAGCCTGCACACAGAGGTAGTTTTCAGCCAGTCCAGATAGCAAAGGCAGCGTATCTTGCTTGTTCCACCACCACAGTGTGGCGCTATCCCTGCAGGGGATGGAGGGCAAGCTTTTATAGAGCTGGATTTCCTGATCTACCCTCTGGGCTAAGGAAAGACGGGGCTTTGATTCAAAAAGTGACCGCAGCTCGTTGTCTTCCTCCTCGAATAGTTCTTCCAACTTGCGTAACTTGCGTAACTTACGTAAAAAACGTGACGTAAGTCGTGCTCCCCAGAGCCGGCGCTCTAGGCTCTGGTGCT